TGATGGCTATAATATCTTACAATGATCAACAATGTTTACATCTCTAATAAAATCTATAAGCAACTGATTGTCTCAAAGAACTGTTTGAATTATCTTATCTGAAGATAAATTCAAATCTAATCAATGAGGCTGGTGGCTCACATCTGTAATCCCAGCACTTTGGGAGGCTGAGGTGGGTGGATCACGAGGTCAAGAGATCGAGACCATTTTGCTCAACATGGTGAAATCCCGTCTCTACTAAAAATACAAAAAATTAGCTGGGCATGGTGGCGCATGCCTGTAATCCCAGCTACTCGGGAGCCTGAGGCAGGAGAATTGCCTGAACCCAGGAGGCGGAGGTTGCAGTGAGCTGAGATCGTGCCATTGCACTCCAGCCTGGGTAACAAGAGCAAAACTCCATCTCAAAAATAAATAAATAAATAAATAAAATCTAATCAATGTTTTCCTTAAATACTATCAGCAAAAGTATTGCATATTTTCCATATTTATTTTATTCACAATTATAGCTTTAGCAGTTATAATACTCCTTTATCATAAAAATTATTATATATTAATTAGTTGTCATGTATCATAAGTGTGACAAATGTTTAATCTACATTTTAAATAATCAATATTAATATGAGGGTACTCTTTTAATCCTCATATTACAGAGAAGGACATTGTGGCTTAGAAAATATAATAATGTCCTTTGCAATCCATAATACTTGGTAGGAAGTCAATCTAGAACTTCAGTCTAGTTACTGTCTACCTCAAAAATTTTGTTTTTTAAATCACTGAACTATACTAAATCCTCTAAAGCCAGGATTAAAATAATTATCAGCTGCTCACTTTCCACTGAATCTCACAAATAGAAACATAGGAATAGTCCTCCACAACTCCTTCCCTATTTCTTACATAAAAACAAAGCACATGATTTGCAGATTTTGTCTCCTAAGTGTCGGTCAAATCCATCTTTTTACCCCCGTTCATTCTGTCATTTATTTATCCCAGCCTTTATTATCTATTGCCTACACTGTTACAATACCCTCTCAGTTAACGTCCCTGTCTTATATCTCATTTTCCATCTCTATGTACACACACTTATTCCCATACATTACTGCCAGTGTACTCCTAAATTGCGTGTCTGATCACATCAGTGATTTGCATAAATTATTCTAAGGACATTCATCACCTTCATCTCAGTAGCACTGTCCATGCTACTGAGCACAGCAACAGAACCTATACACCTGGCTGTTGCTCATCACTTTTGCTTCCTGCCTCCTCTCCCAAATTTATTTGAGAAATATTTACAAAGTAGAATTGACCAGGGCTGCTGGTGATCAAATGGATATGAAATCTGATAAGTAGAAAAGGAAAAGGGAAACAAAAAACCACACAATAGAGCAATCGAGTAAATGTTGAGAATTTGAGGGATAGCAACACGGAGGTAAACATTGGAGTAGAGTTCAGATCTTTTTCTCCAGTTTCCTACTTAACTGAACATATTCTTTTGTCAAAAACAACTCAAACTCACTACATCCAAAATCAAACATATTATCTCTGTGTCCGATCTCTGATCTTGGAGTGCAGTACATCACAGAGTGGCAGTATCAGCTATCTGTCTCCAAAACCACTCTCTTTCTTTCTATCCCTTCTTTAACTATATCCTATCAGCATCCTGTCAAGTTTATCTTCTAAATAGCTCTCAAATCATTCTCTTCTTTTCATCTGAATTTGTAATGCGTCTGCTGGCATCTGCTTTATCCTTTCTGTAATTTATTCCCTATACTAAAGGCACGCTGATGTTTTCTATCTGAAAATCTGATTATATCATCCTCTACCATTTACATACAATTAGAGCTTTTTGTGTTTTTCCTCCATAGCACCTGTCACATTGCAAATTTGCTCTTATTTCTATGCAAATAGATATTTGATTATTCATTTTCTGCCCCAAACAACTATAAGCACTTGCCACTCATTGTATTCCAAGCAGTTAGTATGATGCCTGGTATAGAGCCATTTATCACTATTTGTTTAATGACTAATTGAAAAAAGTAATTAACAGAGGGACAAAAAGATCTAGGTTACTATTTTCTGTAACAAGAAACATAGTTGGTGATCTCATGGGTTTCGGTGATTCGCTCAGGGAAAATATGTATACTAGTAGAGATGCAGGTCAACTGGAGGAGTAAGATGAGAAGCCCAAGAAGGAGATTCAGCTAAAAGGTCAGAAGAAAGGTAGAAAAACTATAAGATAACCATGTCATAGACACCAAGGTAGAAAATAAAACAGACTGATCTGCTATGTAAATACCTCAGAGTACTCTGGAAAGAAATTGGAGATTATTGTCTCAAAATAATCCCTTTTACCTCTTTAATTTCTAACTAGATTTTTCTTCAATAATCACATCTTGACCTCTAAGATTTTCCTTAGTCTCTATCATATACATGAAATGCTCTCAATATGCACATCTTCATTAAGGCATCCTCTATAATTCTACAATCCTATTGCAGGTATAGCTATATTACCACATTTGTATCCTATTTCTGGATTTTAAATTATGTCCTAATCTCAGCCTCATTTAAATATTTAATTTCTGTAACTTTTCCATTGATATTTCTAGGAAAATACATTTGTAATATCTCGTATATTCATTCAATGAGTTCAAGTCTCTGCATTTTTTACATCTTTGTCTGCATTACTGTCATGTGCCTCTAATGTGAGATGCTGGCTATTCTGAACCAGACCAGTATAATGTGCTGGGGTAAGCACTTGTCATAAGCACACACTTAATAAATGCTTCACTGACTGGTGGTAGGGTTAACTTCACAGCATGAGCAGTCAGAAAACTATATTATTTGCTCAGGAAACAATAAATCTCCATACAAATGAGAAGGAAATGATAAAATTATTCATTTTAGCCTTTTAAGAATTTTTAAACCTGAAATACATGAGACATGAGGTAGAAACATTTTCATACTGAATGGCTCACATTTAAAATAAAGCTAAATAGCTATATCACTAAGGAAAAAACATTCATTGTGCCTGTCATTTGAAGAACTATATGACAATCAAAAATATTAAAAATGTTTTTGTACATAAATTGCAAATAAATTTGAATGTTTTGTATAATTAAATGCTGGAAGATCATACTAATTTAAATATTAATATTATATTTCCTATCGTGTCCATCCAGAGCTGAATTTAATTTTCTACTTTTATTTTGTTTTACTTTCTATTTGAACTCTCTAAAATATAAACCCGCTAATATCATGAACGCCACAGCACCCCAGGGATCCCAAAGCCTAGAACCATTCCAAGCTTGTGCAAGTGCACAAGAAATATGTTTTGAGTGACTGGAAAATGAATGAACGTTGAGCAAGAAAATATATATGTATATTATGTAAAAGGCTGTTTTAATTTATTTAAGATACAATAGTGGCTTGAATTAAGGTAAATAATATTTAGGATGAATAAAGTAAATTTATTTGACTTATACTTAAGAGAAGATGGTAGTTCATTCAACATGGGTGAGAGAAAGTAGAGTCTGTAACTGATATGCTTTTAATCTGAGTAAATGGGTGGTTAGTGCCATAATTTGTCATCAAAGGAGATACCAATGGAAGAACAAGATAAAGAAGATGTGAATGAAAAGCCTATTCTGATTCAAATCACAGACTCTGGGTCTTTAAAGCTGTCTATGCTTGCTGGTCCTACTATTTAATAATCATGGACCATTTTTTTCAATTCTATGGAATTCGATTTCCATCTTTACTATGAGTAGAATTTGTTCTTGACAAATTAAAAAAAAAAAAAACTCTACAGTCAAACACAATGGATGCTTTTCCAGTTCTTACCTTGTTTGACCACTGATAATCATTTGTTCCTTCTTGGACATCCTTAACCCATGTTCCTTTGATACCTTTTTTTCCTGCCTTTCCTCAAACCTTTATAGCTGCTCTACTAACAGTCAGATAAATTCCAGACTTTTCTGTTGTGATTAAATAAGGTTGTCCAAAATCTAGTCTCTGCCCATATTTCCATCCCCACCCATTTAAAATCTCTGTCAGCCTACTTCCTACAAGAAATTTTTCCTTATTTTAAATCAGGATTAGTTCTATTCTATTAACTAAACATGGCATGATTTTTTTTATCTCTCTGAAGTACATTGAGGGTTTTGTTTTCATGTGATATTTTCAGTGGATCTGAGAGTGAGTAAAATTCCAACTTTTTTATTAAGAAAATATTGGTAGACTAGATTTCCCTATATACATATTTTTCTGTTCCTCTAAATTTTTCATCACATTACTTCTGAATAATTTTCTGTCAGTCACCTACTACAGTTTTAGCATGAATATTTGCCTTTTCTATTACATTTCATTTGGAACATGTTAAGACTTACAAAGACTGTTATCACAAATATCATATTAACAAAATGTGAAAGTAAATCTTTGTTCCCAATAATACTCACATACTCTATGTGTTTGATATTGATATAGCACACATTTTAATAAACTAAAGTATATTCTCCTTGAATCACTCAAAATAATAATAATAACAACACATGTTCTTCTATCACATGATTGCTATCACATCTTCCAAGGTAGGACTGAAAGGCAGACTATGCTACTATATTCTAGGAGTCACATAAAATCAGGGGACAAAACTCAGGGTCAGTGGGTGATGCCACTTAAAAGAGGTTGGGCTTAAGAAAAGCAGGAGGCTTTACCTAGAGGTGGCATAGAGTTAGAGAACCATTCTGCCATGCATAGGCATTTTTCTCTGCAAAAAAATGTTCAGAATACTTTTTTTTTTTTTACCATTTGGCTACTTCTAGAGATATAAATGAGAATTTTTAACATTCTAGATATATTCCTATAATAAATAATTAATAAAGAGGAACCATATTTTATATCCCATAAATTACTTTCAAAGAAAGAAAGACATTCAATATTACATTTTTAATATTAATTGTGCCTTTAGTGTATACATTTTAAGCTGTTGAGTGAAATGTACTTACACTCAGTTTTCCATTGCGATTGTCTTCTTCTCTCATTGCCAGGGCCGTCAGAAAATTATCTTGTATGTCTTTTCCAGCACTTGTTAGAGTCCTGTAAAAAGCAGATCTTCAGCTTTAATATATTAGATAACAAATATGTTTCAAACACTCTGGAGCCAACAATAATGCTTTTTTATTCCAAGTGACAATTTCCTTGCAACATGAAAACCATATAAACACAATCATTATTATCTACTAGAGTTCTCAATTTAATTTCATATAGTAACAGAGTATTTATAAATAGTTGGAATCAAGCTTTTAAATAATATATTCATAACAAGACTCATGCCATATATAATTTCATTTACATGTGCATTTTGTTCTTTTTTAACATACCAAGAAATGTCACCATGTTCGTACCCTTCACTTCCCACAAAAATTTTTAACTACCTATAATTTAAGTATAGTTTATTAATTTAAGGAAATTAAAATGATAGACACTTGTGCTAATACAGTTACTGGAGTAGAGCATTAATTTTAGCCCTATGAGTAGAGATAATCAAGGCAAGAAAGGAAACTAGGTTAACTTATCTTTGTCAGATGAAAGAAAGCATCAAGAATTCAAGAGAGAAATAAGTCTGGAAATATATTTTAAAAGAAATATATCACAAGTATCTCAATCAAGAACAACTGAACCACATAATAGTAAGTTTAAGAGTGATTTGTAAAATAATAACCCTTTCTTTACACAGTAATTTCCTACATATTCCACAGACTTTTTCATTATGTGTCTGCTATGTACCAGGAACTGTATCTGAGCACAATGATGCACAAGGCATAGTTCCTGCTCTCAAGTTGTGTATGGTCTCATAGAGGTAAACAGATATATAAACACAATGTCATACCATGTGATGACTGGAATAATAGAGATACAGACAGAGTAACAAAGGGGTTAATAAGAGAAGATATCTTATTCAAGGCAAAGTCACTTAATCTGAAATATAAAAGCAATTATTCTTGAATCTAATGTTAAAACTTCAGATAGTATTATCTAGTTTGAGGGGTGGAAGGAGAGAGTTATCAGTAACTACAAAGGAAAGAAGGAATACAGATTTAAAGTTGCAAGGCAATCGGGTAATGGCAAAGCGGTCAGAGAGTAAACACAGGAAGTGAGGGGGAAACCAGATAATATTTAGAAGTTAAGATTTTAATCAACATACTGTTATAAATATTTACTAAGTTCAGATAGTAGAGTCTGGTTTTAGAATTCATTTTTAGAATCCCTTTCAGGGAAGGCTTGCATGCTACTTAAGGAGCTTGGACCTTATCATACTACCAGAAAGCATTAAACCAAAAGGATCTAATGCAAACAAATAAAACAGTCAAATCTGTGTTCCAGAAAGAGTATTCAGAACTATGAGAAAGGCAGCCTGAAGGAAAGCAACACTGCAGGGATTAAGAGACTATCACAAAACTTTAGAAAGAGATGATAAATATCTGATTTAAAGAAGTGATGGTAAGGATAGGAAGGAAAGAATAGATTTAGGAAATATTTAAGAGATAAAATGGACTTAGTGATTGCTTTTTGTGAAGAGTTAAGGAGAGATTACTACTAGGTTAAATCATTGCAACCATTGTTTATGTTGCTGATCTAGAAATGCAGCTCTTTAAATTCATCATAACTTGTCTGCTTTTGCTTTCCAGCTTTACGTTCCTCAGCTTGTTTTATATAATACGTATATATATATATAATATGTTTATATAATACAATATGTATATTATATTTTATATATAACATAGACATAATATATATAATATATATCACTTAATAATCAAAAAACCTTAATAAACGTGCAAAATAACTACTAATTAGTACCAAAGGAGAGGTCAGATATTTGAGAATTTCTTTAATCCATTGTTCTGTTCGTGAGTGTTCCATGTTAAAATACATATTATATACTGCTTTAATATTAAATTTAATATTAAATGTCTAAAACAGAAAAGTAATTTTGTCAGTTGCTTGTTTAGAAAAAAAACTACCTGTTTTCTACTGCTCACAGCACAAGCTTCTAATCACTTGTTCAGTTTCCACCTAATTTCTTGCTTATGGTCTGTTTTAAAACCACATTCTGTTGGAAATTCTCTGTGAAATTTGAATAGAGAATTCATTTTACATCAATCAACAGCGGTCAGGTTATACTATAGTAACCAATGGTCCAAATCTCGGTGGTTTGCAATTGCAAGAGATTACTTTTCAATAAAAATATGCATCGATAGCAGGTTTACTGTGGCTCTTCATCTGGAGGAACTGAGATACTGATGAAACATCCTCTATCAGAACCATCTTTGGTTACTTGTGCAGAGGGAAAAGAGAACATAGCCACACAATGTCTCTCAGAACTTCTGCTTAAAAGTACACATATCACTTCTACTCGTATTTCCTTGGCCAACGCACTTGCTTTGGCCAACCCTGAACTCAATGGGGTGAGAAAACACAATCCTGTCCGAGCATTTGTAGCAAATATTTGTGAATGGTAGCTCAGACATTCATGGCCTCCTATACCATAAATAACAAAGATTGAGACTAGATTGCTCAGTATATAAGAGCAGTAAATAAAATGATTTTTGAACAAATTATAATAGTATAGAAAATTTGTTGACTTGGTTCACTGCAATGTAACCAAGTAAAGGCTCTTTTGAGAATTAAAATCACTAATCCTAGCTCCAAAACCAAACTTCCCTAAATACCCACAGAGCAGCCTACAAATAACAGTTGAAGGAACTATTAATAGAATTAGTGTTCTGTGACAGTTGTAGACATCTATTGCTTTTGCCTCCTAATATGCTTTCTCCCTTTTTATTGGCAACACAACCCTAACTTTTACTTGGGCAACTGTCTTTTCCACACTCTTTGCCTTAGTAGAATCAAGGTACCCACTTACAACTCTTACCTCCCAAACCTCAGCTAATGAATACACTTCAAGCTTTGTCGATGTCATTTCACCTCATGGGTAAATCTTTAACAGAGACAAAAGAATGAAAGGCAGCTGGAGTTACAGTGGTACCCTTACTTCCTACTACATAGTTTATTCAATTTATCTTTGAATCTATGATAATCAGTGCTCTTCCAATAAATTCCCTTTTTGATTTCATTCATTAGAGTTGGTTTCTATTGCTTACAATAAAAACCTATAATTGACACAATGGCTATACAGTTAGGATGCACCAGAATTCCCATGAGTTTCCACAAACTATATCTACTTCCTTCTCCTGCTACCTTCCCAAGCATACCTTGTTTTGTTGTAAATTTTTAGAACTTCACAGATAAAGTCCAATTAGATCATCAACCCTGATCACATAACACAAAAGGTAACAATCATTAGAAGTTTTGCCTGTAGCCTTTAAGGCTTTTTTAAATTATATATAGATATATAGTAGTGTACTAATAAAAACATATATACTATTATGTGGTCAGTTGTTCATTTCATTACATATTTTGCAACTTACCATTTTATTGCTGTTGTCAGAACTATTCCTGGAAGTTGATGTTTATGAAAGTTCCAAGAAAATAAAAATTATCCGTGATATATCAGATATGAAATGCCAGAAGAATTGATTTTTAGGCATCATTCACTAATAAGGATGGAACTTCTAATATTTTGCTAAGCCTGACTCTCTTGCTAATGGCTGAGGTTTTCAGCACATGTCTAAGGCTGGACAGGAAAATAAAGTAACAGGCAATAGAATTTTTGCTGTCCCTGGACACTTACTAGGGAAGACACTCTTCCCCCTTCTTCCATAAAAATGAAAGCCTCAATTTTCACTTGGGCATATAGCAGCCTGGAATAGAGACCACATTTCTTAGCCTCTTTGCAGCTAGTTATGTTCGTGTCACTAACTTTTGCACTTTAAGAGCCAAGTAAATATGATTTGCGACTTCTAGGGAATGTACTTAATGTAGAGACGGGTACTTTTTTTCTGGTAGCTAGAATGCAATATAATAACTGAAACTCCAACTGCCATTTGGAGATAAATTGGAGGCCACTATTATGGAGAAACAAAGAGAGGAGCAGGGTCCGCGATACTTTAGAATACCAACACAGCCTTGAGTGACACCAGCTGGACTTCTTGAATATGAGACTGAAAAGAATTTCTATTTGATTTCAGCTACTGTCATTTTGGTGTTTTCTTTTCTTTTCTTTTCTTTTCTTTTCTTTTTTTTTTTTTAACCTACCTAATTCAAAAAGATACTTGACCATTTTAAATTTGTTCCCTTTTCCGAAAAAGATGCTCTTGTGAGATTGGCTTGGTTATCAAATTGGAATTTAACCTTAGGTGAAATATTCTAAGAATTTCCCAGGAGACCATATTACTTACCTAATTAAAATAAAATTTCTAAAACAGTCTTGGGTTAAGTCTATTAAATAATAGCACAAGATAACGAAAATTAAACTAAAATATAAAATGGAATATCAGTCTTTAATTCCTACTCATTTACCAACTGATTAGTTCGAACAACCACATTTTTCTGAACCTGGATTTCATGATGGGCTAAATAATACCTAGGCCCAATAGCAGATGTAAAACTTGTGGTCTAAAGCAACCATGCTGTATCACTTATCACCAAACACCATTAAAATATATTTAGTCCAAGAAAAAGACTATTATCCTGACAAGATGCTAAGTTCATACTGTTCTTCTTTCATTACTATGCAAGTCGCACAGACATAGATTTACATCATTTCTTATAAACTCAGTGAGGAAGATAGAAATATTATATACATTTGGAACAGAGAGGGTAAAGACTTTTGGCTCCAAAGCTAGGTGAAGCAAAGAAAAAATGTTACATAGTAATCACTTTTACATCATGCTACAGCTGAGAACCTGAAACTTCTCAGCAAAAGGAAATATTGGAAAAGAATGAAAGCTAATGCAGTGTGAGGTAAGGAATTCTTAAATCTTTAACATGCATTACTCTTATTTAACTAAGTTTATTTAACAGTCAGTGACCTGAGAAAGCTTGCTTAAGTAAATATTACAAAAGCAGTTACTTCCTCAAGAAGTGAAGTAGGTCTGTTTCAAAATCTTAGTGTTCTAAGTTCTACAAAGGCA